GGCTATTCCTGCCAGCTTGTTATGTCACGATCACATTTACTAGCACTGACCACATTTACTTCTGGATGCCATGGAGGGAGAGGCTTCTTTTATTTCCTTATTCGTTTTATAACAAGCTGGCAGGAATAGCCAACAGGCCAGAAGATAGACTCAAGATCAAGACAGATCTTGACAGATTTAAACACTGGGTCCTATCTTGAAATTCAATGGGGAGAAAAGTAAGATTCTACACTTGGGCAAGCAAAGGCAAATGTACAGGTTACAGATTCGGTGAAATTTGGCTCAATAGCAGTAACTGTGAGAGGGATTGTGGAGTCCTAGTGGATAATCACTTAAATATGAGCCAGAAGTGTGTGGTAGCAGCTAAAAAAGTCGCTGCAGTCCTAGACTGTATTAATAGAGGGATGGAATCAAGATAATTTGCAGTATTAGTACCGCTTTATAAGGCCTTGGTAAGGCCACACTTGGAATACTGCATCCAGTTTTGGTCAACATGATATAAAAAAGATGTTGAGACTCTGGAAAGAGTGCAGAGAAGAGCAACAAAGATTACCAGGGGGCCGAAGGCTAAAAACGTATGAAGAATGATTGCAGGAATTGAGTATATTTAATCTAATGAAAAGAAGGATCAGAGGTGACATGATAGCAGTGTTCCAATATTTGAGAGGCTACCACAAAAGAGTGGTGGGGTTTTCAGTCTATGAACCTTTCAATCAAAGCACCAGAGGGCAAGACAAGAAACAATGGATGGAAACTAACCGAGGAGAGAAGCAGCCTAGAACTAAGGAGATTATTTCCAATAGTGAGAACAATTAACCAGTGGAATGTTTTGTCTCCAGAAGTTGTGAGTGTCCATCACTGGAGGCTTTGAAGGAGCCCGGACAACCACTTGTCTGGAATGGTATAGATTAGAATCTCCTGCTTGAGCAGGGGGTTAGACTAGAAGACCTCCAAGGTCCCTTCTAACTCTGATGATGTTTTATGTTCTATGTGTCTTAAACCCTCATCTATTGATTGGGTTCCACTAATATCAGAGAAAGCAAAAATAATCCGATGCATTTTTTTCAGTGTTCTTCTTCATCCTTTTCCAAATTTAAAAAAAAGCCCCAAAATGTTGCAATTATTCCCAAACAGGAAGTTTTGACAGCTTCCCCCCCCCCCCCCCCGCACTACATTTTGTTCTGCTTTGGAATATATATCGTTTGGGGAAATGAAGCAATCAGAATGGGCACGCCGTGTTCCAAATGAAGTGGCATTATGGATTATTCCTGGAAGCTCTATTTTCAGTCCTCACCCCCAATCATGAAATTAATTGGGCTGTAAGAAAGTGAATTAAAAGGCCCGTGGATTTTTTATTTTTTTTACACCTGTTACCTTTTAAGAAAAAAGACACTTTGCTCCAGTTGCTTTTATGTTTTTGCAATACTCAGCACCAGCAGGAATGCAGAATTGTCATAGTTCTGGAGAATACGATGGTGTAAAAACCGATCTGTAGTCCATTACCACGCTATTTGGAATTCTTATTTGGTGTTATATTACTAAAACAGGTGCTGAATGTTTCAACGTGCTGTTGGACTAGAGATGTTCTGGGTAGCAAAATAGGAAATAGCAACAGCATTTTGACTTTTATACCGCTCCTCAGTGCTTCCCAGCACTCTCTGAGCGGTTTTCAACATCAGCCAACGGAGCTGGCAGCAGATTCGGACAGTGAGGAGGTTGGGGAGGAACATGGGCCAGTCCTGGAGTCTGGGGAAGGCTCGGGCGCGGGCTCTGCGTTGGAGGCAGAGAAGGGGCCAGGGCCATCTGGTAGTTACGTGCTGTCTCTGGAGCAGGGGTGGGTTTCTCGCCTCGTTCCAACTGGTTCAGTTGGAACGGGGCCGGCGGCGTCCTCGTGCTCGCGTGCGTCGCACGCATGCGTACTAGCATCTGTGCAATGCTCCAGCTGCTCCTGGAGGATCACGCAGGCGCTGTATGCGTCCTGCGCATGCGTGGAAGTGCAG